TTTTTTTTTTTTTTTGGGTAAACAAGACAAGACAACTGGTATGCGTCTTCTTATCAACCATTGACCCGATATAATTATAGACATAAAAAAAATATATATATATATAAACAAAACGTTAACATTTATCTTAAAAACTTAAACCTTGAAATTGGTAGTTGAGATTTTCATTTTCACCTTATTAAGAAATTAAACTGTAAGATAATATGGTCACCTAAATTTTATTTTTCATATTGGATTAACATATTATTTACATATAATTATATGTACTATTGGATTTACTATTTTGATGATTTCGTGGATACTATTGATTCGATCGATAATACCTCATACTCATAACTACAACATTACAAATATAATATTTTAAATAGAAAATTACCTACTAGAATATTCTCTTTTTATTACACAATTACACTCTTTATATAATTATTAACAAAATAGCTAGAGTGTTATATTTATTTACACATATACCAGAAGAATTATTAAAAAACGAATTAGCTTAATAATCAGCGTGAATTGGAGAAACTACCATTTTTTTTTCTAAATACTCATTCTTACTAGTATAACACCCGTGTACTACACGGGTGCTTGTTAAAAAATTATTCTTAAATTTTAAAATTAATGAGAAAACTATATCAAATTTAGTTTTTTTTTTAACAAAAAAAAAATATATTACTATATATTTTATAATGATATGTGTTACTTATGACTTACATGTGTTATATTACATTAGTTTTTATAACTTATATCATATAACTACTAGAAATATAAATATATTAGTTGATAAATAATTTTATTTTTTTAATTAATATTAAAAATAATTTTATTATTGTTATAAAGATAAATATAAAATAATTTTTTATACATACAATATGAATGTTAAATCGAAACTCATCAAAAGAAGATTAATTTGATATATTACATATGTAAAACAGATAAAAAATACAAAAGTTATTAACTTTTAAAATATATATACAATTCAATAGTTATAATAAGAAATAATATTAAAATGTACTTAATACATGTTAAATGACCATAAATAATCAACATATTTATGGTAATTCGAACCTAATTATTTTTAGTTTGGAATTAAATTAAAATTTACCCAAGTCTCATAACGAAGCATGTAATTTTGCCACATAGGATTCCAAAGCACCAAAAGTAGCCACGTAGGCTCAGCGCGTTTTGGATTAATATACAGGGGCGATTTGTCTAGTAATAAAACCTCTCTCTCTCTCTCTTATTCTTATTTTAAACAGTGTATTGCACAACCTATGTGGGCCCATAATTTAGGGTTTAGGTAAGCATCTGTACATGATGTGTTGGGCCTCCAATGAAAAGGCCGCGATCTTTGTCCCAATATTAACGATCAAATACTTAATAAATTGAATTAATGAAGTATATTTCAACATAGGGTTTTCACTTGCACAACGCCACATTTACGACATAGACTTTGGCACAGATTATATTATTTCACATTTCATATCACTTTAAAATCAACAATCATTCTATCATGTCAAACTTAGCCTTTTCCTTTCAATTTTCCTAGTGAATTTTCTTTTAAGGTCTGTCAAATTTATAACATATGTGCATGTCTGTACTTGTTAGGACTAAAAACAGATAGATTAATCACAAATCCCAACTTTTTTTTTTTTTTTTTTCATTCTCTCTCATACAAACACACATAGACAAACTCTCTTTTTCAGTTATATATCTTTCAAAGGATTTGACTCCATTGAACCTTTCCCACTAATAACATGTGCATGGTGTGATGGGGGGTGGGTGGCCACTTTAGGTGAATGTCATCATTCATCAATCTTTGTGGCCCACTTGTAAGAAGTTAAAATGAAAAAAGAAAAAAAAGGAAAAACATGAGAGAGAGAGAGAGAGAGAATGTTTAAACTATAGGGAAGGAAATGCTACAGTCCCGTTACGTAACTATTTCATCGAGTTTGTAACCGTTAGATCATCTTGTAACCGTCAAGGATAATTGATCTAACGGTTGCAAACTCTGACGAAATAGTGCCATAACGAGACCGTAGCATCTCCCTAAACTATAAATCAATGAGAAATCTCAAGTTGATTGAGATGGGGGCACCCCTTTATTGGACATGCATCATGACCCCTGTATCATGCATTGTCTCTCTTGTCTTTGGCTCTATGGTCCCCCATCTAAAATGCTTAGAGAGGCTTATATGACATGACATATACACATATGAATCTTTACATGTATAATTATGTACATGCATATACATGTGCATGTGTATGTATAAACTTTCATAATTATTATAAAATTTTGAATAATCATCTACTAGAGCTTGATTGTATGTTAGCCTGATTGATCTAAAAATAGAGATTATTTAGCTACATTCGTGCTATTTTTAATAAATTTGGGTTCTATGTGTACATTCGGATGCCACATAGTTCCAATCTTGATTGTACACATAATAAAATGTACATTAACTATAAAATAACAAATATAATTATGTATGAAAATAAATTAAAATAATTTTTAAAATATTTTTACAATCGCCTATGTCTTAATCTGCCGTGTTTCAGCAACTTTTATAATCTTAATCATATCCTAACGTTGGTTTGAAATGCGTAAATGACTTAATTATATATATAAGCCCAGTTGTCAAACTAAATTGGGCCAGTAGATTTATGCTATTGATGGCCTTCATATGGCCCAATCTTCTACTTCAAATCAAAGTAGCAGCTTTCTTATAAAAGGGTCATCACGGTTCATAATATTCAATGAGCCCAAATGAGGAAATTTAAGTACAACCAACAAAGAATTCAGTACACAATACCACAAAACTAAATAAAGTGCATTGTTTTTTGGCGTCAAAATTGTAAGCCTAATAATATGCAAAGAATTCGTATGAAACTTTCTGTAATGATGTGAATCAACTTTTTTTTACCATGGCAATTGCAACTATACCAACGGATATGTACGTACATAGTAACTAAGTAAAAAGTTGGATTTAACAGATAGTTATTATGCTTGTGTTCTTTAGAATAAATCTGTCAGAACCAAGTTTTGCCTCACTAACCTGGGACTGAACCTATTAGTGTTGGTCCATTGGTGTAAATTAATTAGCTATCTGCAAAAGGACAACAATGCAAAAGATTCATGTTGCTTGAATATCAATGAAGATATAAGTGAAAATCAAACAGGAACCAGCTTTTCGACTCTGCATATATATATGGACTTTACTAATGTTGAACTCCATGTTTTCTAGATTTTTTCCTTTTTTTCTGCCCGTGTGCAGGACTAAGCTGTACTGTAGCAGTCTTACCGTGTAAATATAAGGGTCCCAACGTCCTCCAGTTCCATATCTCTTCACCTCTTCTAGCTTCAGCAACCTGCAACCATTATCGGGGATTTTGTTCAGTGCTATAGATTGAACATAATAAAGTCTAGGACAATCATAGACTCGAACCTGGGAAAGAACCGTTCCCCAACAAAAACGAGATGAAACTATGTAAATGTTGCCTTAAACACATTCCCGGTTCAGGATAAGATAACCGCACTCACATGTTCAAGCACGGGTTCTTCTCAACAAATTTAGCATAGAATCATTTCAACACGCTCAATTTTCGGAGTTTCAGCAATAGATGATGATAATTTTACTTTTGAAGTTCCTCTCATGTAATGCTGCTACTAAATTTACCGATTAGCAATGCAAATGCTGGTATCCGTGCATCTTAACTATAACGATCCCAATAAAACTAGCATAGTTCCCTCACATTACCCTAATGTGCAGAAAGTCTGCAATAACTCAACCGACATAAAAGAGAACGTTATGAGTTGTACTTACATCCTCAGGGCTTTGCTTGTTGTAGGAGTATCGCCAAGCAAATGACGGATCTCAACCTCAGAAGCACTCCTATAGGACAGAACGCCGAGAATGGCTGTAGCCTTTCGGCCCAGATGACCTGTACCGACTGATCTCCTGTTATCATCAGATTTAATTTGACTGCAAAAGCTTTGGGCACTTGATGAGCTGGAAAAGCAAGAGGCCTCGACAGTGGTTATTCCAGAAACACTCTCGGATGATGAGGGAGGAGATGTGAGCTCGGATTTGCTGGTCTTCGGTTTCTTGCTGCGTGACATGCAGACGGTCTCTGAACGTTTCTTTCGCACAATCTGGTTACACAAAAGGTGGTGCCATCAGTCATGAAGAAGATGAAGCTGATTACGTGGATTTTAGAGAGATGCTTTAGTAAATGGATACTAGGAATTGAACTTCAAGTTCAGAATCATGTAATGGTCTGGAGGTTAAATTTGAAGGACTTGATCATTCAATGAAGTTGTTTCGAGAGTTCTTCCCAAGAACTCCACAAACACACTGTGTCTTCACTTGGACCAAGATATCAGAGCAATCTAGTATTGGGTACTGGGTAGTAATACATACTTTACAACACTATTACATGGAAATGAGAACACCTGCAGGCCCGAAAATGTTGAAGTTATAAGAAGACTGAAGAACAACAACTAATCTCATCACTCATCAGCTCGACAAAGCCAACAAAATACAGAGAGAAAGGAAATTATCAGTAATTTGATTATAGAAATACTTATGCATGTCGATCAGCTCAGGCTATCAATAATTAGTTAACAGGTATTTCAATTTATAGCTTCACTTGCTGTTCATTTGCACTCCTGCTGAGAGAATCACCATGTGTATATCAAAAATAAATATCAATAGTTGAATACTCCATAAATTTACGACCGATCAAATCCACATACATGAAAATGAAGAAACATCTCACAGTACGAAGACCTGATTTCACAAATTGGTGACTATGTTAAATCTACTAGAAGAGCAATCAGATTACCCATTCGAATTTCAAAGCAGAGGGAAAAAAAACCTATAATAACTCCTTAATCCCACTCATCTCAGGCAACCAACAACAGTCAAAATCTACAACTGATTCAAAGCCACATAAACGAGAAATGAAGGAACAACAGATCATTCAATCACATTTTGATACAATCAAGTCACAATACGAAGAACTGATTTCACAAATATGTACTAGATGTGCAATCAAATTAACGCTAGAAATTTCAAGCTGAGTGATAAACAAAACATATAATAAATTCAGCTCAGGAAACAAACACCAATCGAAATCAATCTCATAGCAGAGCAAAGCTTCATGCACAGCTCAATAACGCAATAAACACCAAATTTGGATTCTGAAAACCAATCTTAACGAAATCTCCATGAATTTGGAAAGAGAGAGAGAGAGAGAGAGAGAGAGAGAGAGAGAGGACAAGAGTACTGGATCACCTTGACCTCCAACTCATCAGACTCAGAGACAAAAGCGACCACCGTAAGCAGCTGCGCAGGCGAGGATTCTTCATCAACGCACACCTTTGCCGCCGCCGCCGATCCGCCCGTCGATTTCACTGTGGAAAATCCCGAGCTGCCTAGGCTTTCCGGACTGCCGCTGCTCTCGCTCCTTCAACACAGAAGAATGAAAGTACAAATTACACTCCAAACATAACAGCGATAAAAATCAAAATGAATATTAAACTCAGAGCTCGACGTTGAAGGAGGTCTCACTTGGAGAGGTAGAGAAGCGAGGAGGCTACTGAGCGCTCGAGGTTTGACGGAAATGAAGCTTCCACTGTTTTCGCGGCCATAGCTTTTTCGAGATTTTTTGAAATATGGCGGGAGTGTTTCAGATTTCGATTTTTCACTTTTTTTCGGGTTAGAGTTAATTTTGGGCTTGGTTATTGGGAGCCCAAGTTAAATTGAAAAATTAACTAAGGTGAAATATGTAATTTCCGAATGTGTTGAGCTTGAGCCTAATTGGTAGCTCGCATTCTTCGAGATCTTAAGTGGCAAAATTTTATGTTTTCATTATTGCTTTTGATAGATTTTGATTTACTTCAAATCCAAAAATAATTATGTCTGAATTATCTATAAATATATTAATTATTTATATTCATTTAGATGTATTAATTGTATTTTAATATCATTACATGTTATAACTAATGAATTGTAAATGTATTGTAAAAGTTAATAACTTTTGTACTTCTTATCGGTTTTCATATATAATATATCAGGTTAATCATCTTTTGATGAGTTTCGATTTGACATTCATATTGTATGTATAAAATAAATTAATATATTTATCTTTATAATAATAAAAAAATATTTTAATATTAATTAGAAAGTATAATTATTTCTCAATTAATATATTTATGTTTAACGTAGTTATATAGTATAAATTAAAAAAAAATATAATTTTTAGCATGCACTCATGTGTTACATATTGTACTAGCATAGATTATTTTGAAAAAAAATAAAATATTTGGATAACAATAGTAAGAGAAATAATTGGAAAAAGAAATGGTTGGAAGAATAAATTATTATTGGAGTTTTGAATAAATTAATAAATAATGATTGTAAATGACTGGTAGTTAAAGATACGTAAATTACTAAATAGTTAATTTTATTAATAAATGTGAACTAATGATTCAAAAAGAAAAATTAGGATTGGATGAGAAATACATGTAAAAACAAAAATATGTTAATGTCTAGTGAAAAAATAAATAAATAAATAAATATCCAGCTAGACCTAGATATAATTTTATCCAATTATCTCAATCAAGGATTTTGACTTTTATCATAATTTTTAAAAATACTGGGTCAGGGTGGATATCAACCTGTTATGACTACCTAATAGTCCAATTTATTTTTGTATTTTTTTTCCCCAAAATATTGGAACATATTAGTCTTTTTCCTAAAGATGGTTTTTTTCATCGGTTTTGTTACGAAGCCAACAGTTGGCTTCATAGTGGAGTCAACCTTCTATATACAACAAGTAAATTATATTATATTAATAAAATTATATTAGTATTATTTAAATAATCAGCGAATATGATAAATTTATTTGTTGTATATAGAAGGTTAGCTCCATTATGAAGTCAACTGTTGACATCATAGCAATACCGTTCTTTTCATATAAATGATAGTTGTGAATAATGCTATTAAATTAAACAAGTCTGGCTCGACCGACTCGTTAAGGCTCGAAAAGAGAATTTTTATATATTTTTTTATAGTTCGACTCGTTAAAGCTCGCGATCGGCTCGATAAGGCTCGAGTTTGAGGCCTTAACGAGCCTAGCTTGAGCTCGATTTTTGGCTCGTTTATTTAATGAGTTGAGCTCCGCTCGGCTGGTTAAGAGCTCAAGCTCGAGCACCTTAGGACAAGCTCGGCTCGACTCGTTTACAGCCTTACTTGTGGATATAACAATTGTTTATTTTAAACCTAATGTGGTGTGGAAAATAATGATATAGTGTCAAGTATGTGTCAAACCTCAAACTTACTGTAAGACACAAAATAAATCTCTCACAATGTTATCCTTAAACTGACACAACTAGCCAACATTTTTCCAGCAAATATATGAGCTGAAAAGCCACAAAACCTTGGCAAAACCAGCTTGTCAAACAATGCTAGTTCTATGAATTCCACCTTTATCCAGTATTTCATTTTTGTCCTACCACAAGTAAAACAAAACAAAGAATCAATTAAAAGCTCTAAAGACGAACATCGGTTCTTGATATAAACGTTCTCAGTCGACTTCCATATCAGAAATTGCTTCATTCAAGATCTTCTCAAGTTCTTTAACTCGTTGCTTCGTCAACGATATGCAGTCCTGCACGCATATCACGAATTTTTCATAAGCACATGCCACTTTTTACAAAAAAAAAAAAAAAAAAAA